CTTGGCCATGTGGTGTGCGAATTATTCCTGAAACTCCCCCTGCCTGACCAAATCCCCCTCCACAGAGCTGAGCAAGCATCAATCCTCCCCTCCCCATCGCTGTTTCGCTTCCCAGTTCCAGCACACGGTGCTGGGGGTGCAAATACGAGGAGTTCTTTTGTCTTCAGAAACAGCCAGAAACCATCTCCAGCCACATTTGGGGCTGAAAACCCAGTTTTCTGTCAGCAACCCAGAGCTGTTGTGTGTCCTGCTCAAAAATTCCTTTGGCAAGTCCTTCGGCAAGGGCCAGGGGGCTGGCTGGAACACTGGACTGGGATATGTTGTGGGGTTAATTTGTGCTTGCTGTGTGCTTGTGGTTTGCATTCCCAAGCTGGCCTCCAAAACTGCCTCTTAACTAAAAGGGAAGTGGGATTTGCACTGCACAGGTGTGCTGAGGGAGGCAGCAAATCCAAAACGACTGGGATGCAGGGGGCTGGTAATCCAGGTTTTTGGAGCAGAATTGCTCCAGTTATCCCTACAAAAAGATCAATACCCACGCACAGCCAATGGCTATTGCTACTACACATCCGTGAGCAGCTCGAGGACGAAAATCCCAGAGTGTTTCCGAGACTCCCTTTCCCCCGTGATGGGGGATTGGCCACGTGTGTGCTCCCTGCACACCAAAGGGCTGTGCCTCCCTAAGCTTCGGGGTGCTGAGCTGGGGGTTTCTGTGCTCTGAAAAGGTAGCAAAGGAGAGTGGCCGAGCCCCTCCTCTCCTGCCAGCTCATCCCCTTTCCCTCTGCTCTGGGCAAGGAAAGCAGCTTCCAGGACGGAGGCTGACCTATATTCCACGCTGAGCAGTGCCTGACTGCCCACTAGTTTGTTGTGTGTGTGTTTGTTTTTTTTTTTTTTCCCATTTTTCTCCCCCCAGTCAGGGCTGAAAAAAAGAAAAGGCAGAGGACGGTCAAAACCGCGCAGGGTGCGAGCATCACTTCCCTGCCCCGAAACAATCCGGGGGAAATCAGGCAGGTCCTCGCAGCAGGGCGTGCTCTGCTTTAAAGACCTTGACGTGTGTGACCATCCTGTGGGGGAGAGATCTGAGGGCACGATAGCGCTGGGAAAGGAAGGATGTTTCGGCACCGGCACAGGTGAGGGAGGAGGTGCCACCCGGCTCGGCAGGAACCCTGCGCTGCGCAGATAATCTCACGCCGAGCTGCGGTTCACCGCAGCGCCCTCGTGACCGGCTGAGCGGTCGGGCAGGGGAACGGGCTCCTTTTCCCACAGCAGGGCCCGAACAGGCGTGGCAGGGCTTGGCTGGGGCACAGCCGGGGCTTTCTGCTCACCCGTGTGGCCCTGGCTTGCATTAACACCCCCCTTTCCCGGCATCAAGCCCCCCTGCCCCAGATGTTTCAGAGCAGCTGGGGAGAAAGGGTGACAGCCACACACGGCGCCGTGCACGAGGACCTGTTCGGGGTTTGTTTTGGATGATGCCCGAAGAACCCGGTGATAGTGATGCACCCGGTGATAGTGATGCACCCGGTGATAGGGATGCACCCGGTGATAGGGATGCTCAGCTGTTACGGGATGAAAATTGGGGAATGACGAGAATCTTTTGCTCACCGCAAAATCTCCCCACCCCGGATTCAGCAATAACTCTCCGGGGGTCAGTTCTTGCCTGTTTCCACCCATTCACCCCCAGAGGAGAAGTTTCGCTTGGCTCTGGAATGAGAGCCGGCCCCCATCTCACTCCTCCTCGGTATAAAGGGCTGTGTCACTGCCCCTGTGGAGCCGCGTCTTTCACAGCACCTGGAAGCGCCGCCGGCCGTGGTGTCATCACCGGCTGATCTTGGAGGTGCCACCTGAATGTGGGAATTAAGCAAAAATCCTAAGGAGGCTAATGGCGAGTCGGGCAGAGCGGAGCGGCAGCAGAAGGCTCCGGGATTTCAGGGCTTCAGCTCTGCCCCGCAAAGCGGCTTAGGTACGGCACATCTGAGCCAGAGACTGGATTAGAGGCAAAACCGGCTCTGGCTCCAGGGAAATCTCTGCACAGAGAGCTCAAGGTGCTCGCTGGGCAGCTCAGAGAGCGCCCTCGTCCTCCCCCCCGCCCTCGGCAGTGCTTGGGCTCCTGGTGCCAGCACCACCTCCTGCTGGCACGGCACCGGCCTTTTGGAGCTGGATTTGGCAGCGTGGAGCAGCTGTGGAGACCACGCTGTGCTTGCCCAGGCACCCAGGGCTGGGGCTGCAGCTCGGGCTGGGTGGCCCAGGCACAGTTTGGGTGATGCAGGGTCAGGTTCCTCTTCTCTGCTGACTAACTCAAAGAGGAACTCGTGTGTCAGGGTGATGCCACTGCTGGCGCTGCACCAGCACAGCATCGTCCCTCCACCAAGGAGAAGCGTGGTCACGGTGGATGGGGATGCCCCAACTTGCCCAGACACGACCCAAGCAAACTGTTTTAGCTGTGGTGGTGTTGGTCCTCCTTGGTCATACGTGCCAAATAGGACGATGCTGGCACATCCCAAGGGCAACAAGATCCCTAGGAAATCCTGGCCTCTGGGAGAGCAGAGTGGCTTTCACTGCAGGGGGTGTCTCACACAGCTCAGTGCTGTGAAACCCCCCGTGTGTTTTCAGCTGGGCAGCACCTCCTTTTAAAAATGAAAAAAAACAAACAAACAAACAAACAAAAACCAAACCAAAACCAAACCCTCCAAACTGAAATTAATCTCTTCATTTATTTTCAGATGCCTGCACAAAAAGACAGCCCAGATCTTCGGAGGCGTGGGATTTGGGAACTGATGTGGGCCGAGGAGCTGGGTGCCCGTCTCCCTTTCCAAGCTTTTTTTGGAAATGGGTTCAATTCCTGCAAAACAAAAGCACTGAGGGCGATGCAGGCAATTTTGCAGGATCTGTAAGAGTTACCCCAAACAACAGCCATAATATGATGGGCTCTCAGCAGGGCCCTGTGGCTTCCTTCGACACTTGTGCTCTATTTTATCTGCTTTTTTTACTCCATCTTAGGGATCTGCAGGCAGGGGCAGATGCCTGGAGTGGGCAGAGGGATGGCAGGGTTGGATCCTTATCCACAGGGCCCTAAATTCATGCCAGGGAGATGCCCCTCAGGAGAGGGTGACCTGAAGCCCATCTCTGCCAGGGCCTCCCTCAAAACCCATCCTGTCATGGGACACGACAGGTCCATCTCAGCACCCGGGACATGGTGGCAGCGGCACGGACAGACTGTGGGATGGGACAGGAACTGAAAAGGAAGGATTGCTGTCACAGACTTAAAGGTACAGTTAAAGATCAGGAAAATGCATCTCTTCTGTGGCAACAGGGGAGACTTGTCCGGTTGACTTCCTGGGATTTTCCCAGGATGGCTGTGATTTCCGATTAATTGGCAGATCCATCCATCACAACCACTATCTCCCTGTTCCCATATTCCCTGATCACACTGTAAGAGCAGTGACTGCACAAGATGCCACGGGCCAGCCCTGCCAAGTGATGCTGACTGGAGGGAAGTGACCACAACTGGGAGCTAGAAGGCTTTGAGCATTTACGACCTTGGCTTTCCTTGTGCTGAGGGAAGACAATAACATCATGGTCTGGGAGCTAAAACACTCTAATTCAACTCCAGGCATTAGCTGTGGCTCGTGGCATACATGAGATCAGACACAGCCATCACCCTTGTCTGGGAACAGGGAGATAGTGGTTGTAATGGATGGATCTGCCCAGTTAATCGGAAATCACGTCCATCCAGGGAAAATCCCAGGAAATCAACCAGACAAGTCTCCTCTGTTGCCACCCTTTTGGACACAGTGGCCTCTTTGAAATATCACCCCTCGTTACCCGCCGTGCGTGGGAAAGTTGATGCCGTGTCTCCCCTGCTCCAGCTACAAAATGAGACGTGGCCACAGGGACCCTCACGTGCCCGACGCTCGGAGCGCATCCAGAGGGACACAGCCATGAACTTTTCCATTCCACCTTTCAAAAAAAACCCCCCAAAAAACCCAAAAACCCACAAGTAGTTTCTATCTAAATCATCTTAACCTGGGGGGAAGCTACAGGACAAAAGCGTTTTGATAGACTGTCGTGATGTTTTCAGGAAGAATTTCTTCACTGGAAGGGTTGTCAGGCTTAGGAGTGGAGTCCCCACCCCTGGAGGTGTCCTAGGAAGGACTGGACGTGGCACTCAGCGCCCTGGGCTGGGGGACAAGGTGGGGAATCCACAGTCTTGGAGGTCTTCTAAAAAATTCTGGGATTCTGTGCTATGAGGAAGGACGGGAGCAGATTGAGACTCGCCATGATTCGTGGTCAAAAACCTCAGGATCAAGAATCCCATGATTTAAAAAAAAAAAAAAAATCAAAAAGTAATTTTGGTCAAATGCAGGGGTATTAAAAAAAAAAAAAAGAAGTGGCTGAATTGGACTTGTCTAATGGTTAAAATTCTGCCTGGTAGATTTTGTTATTTTTAGTGCTGTGGTAGAGAGGCACTAAATAGAGGCACTAAACTTGTGACATGTGATTTAAGAGGAAGGGCGAGTTAAAATCAGATTTAGAATAAATAAATGGTTCCTTGGTTAATCAAAACTGACTTCACAGAAACACAGTTTAGAAATACTTGAAACCCTGACAGGCAGTATTTTCAACACAATTATACTTGCCGTTTATTTTTTATTTTTTTTCTTAGCATTTCAAATCAAATTCCTTGTTCATTCACTCACATGCCCATTTGTACCCTTCCCTGGACCTGCCCTGCTATTTCTGCACCTGTTCTGCCAAAATAAAGTATCAAGCTGTCTAAAACTCACCTCATTTTTGGACTGGCTGTTTATTTGAGTTTTTATGGTGGTGATGAGGCAACCCTAAGCCTGGATTTTTGAGCTGTTTCAAGTCAGGCTCCTCTCCTTGACATAATTTTTTTTACTGTATAAGTATCAGGAGACCTGGAAAGGCTGCTGGAGCTCCGTGCCTCTGACTAGTGCCAGAAAAAGCTTCACTTCAATCAAAGGAACCACTCACAGCACAGATTCTGGAAAATCCAATTTAATTCTATCCCAATAATTATTACAGCACACCGATACATCTCTCTTTATTTACTTTTGCAAGACAAAGGCCAGTGATGTTGACACTAAACTCGAATTCCATCCATCACTGGAAAATTCATCATAAATCTAGATGAAATTCAGCAGCTTGACTTGGAAATTGCTACAAATGAGACTTGACAGCCTCTGCAAGGCTCACCGCAGACTCTATGCAGCCATCGAAGTTGGAGCGGGTAAATCCATCGCCCCCACAAATCAGGAGAGGCTGAGTATGAAGAATCATTTGCCCTGGACAATTAGGCACAGCCTTTGTAACCTGGAAAAGAAAAGAAAAGTATGCAAGGAGTTGGAAGAGGAAGTATCTCATCTACCTGAGTTTCCCACTGGAAAGGTCTGTTTTCCTTAGGAAAGCCGTGGTAAGAATCCCAGAATGGTTTGGGTTTGGGAGGGACCTTAAAAGATCATCTCTCCTGGCTGTGTCACGCAGTGTTGAGCCTGTTTCAAACCTACCTGTCCATGTGGTGCTGGATCAGTGCATCCCAGAGCACCACTGGAGAATCTCAGCACGGAGACGAGGTGGAAGAAGGTAAATTATTGTGAGGGCAAGGCAGGCACGGGCAGGAAGGATAAAACAGGGAAGAAGATCGTAGAAACACAGAATCATGGAAAAGCTGGGGTTGGAAGGGGCCTAATTCCACCCAGAGATGCCACAAGATGCAGGAGGGAGGTGGGAAGAAGTAGTCTGAGAAAAGGAATGGCAAGACAAGATCTCTAAGGATGAACTGTTGAAAAAGAGAGAAGAATATCTAGAAAGGTGAAGACAGACAGAGAGAGAGAGATAAAACAAAAGGGCAGAAGCAGCACATCAGTAAACCAGCAACAGAGATCAAACCATGGGGTCCTAAAGCATGGTACAAAGAGGACAATTTTGTTCTCATCATTTCCTGATTTTCTGCCTCTGGTCCAAAGACGTGTTGGATTCCTGAACAGCTTCACTGAACAAGCCCTCATGTCCAAGGAATCTTGCTAAATCCAGGGCATTTTCCCACTGATTCAAATGTCCACTCAGCTGGCCACTGCTGAGCCATTACCTGCCACTGCCAAGGGTGGATCAGCTGCAAAACAGCCACATTTATGGAATTGGCTGCATTTTGTGTCACTGTAGCTCTTTAAAGGAGCCAATTATCTGAAATAGCCAGTTGCAACCCGTTAACAGAAGAGTATATCCAGGTATGGAAAATCCAGCCAGAGATCCTCCTTCTCAGACTAATTTTAAGTCAGTATTTAATTTATTCCTAATTTTTTTCTTACAGATCGAGCTGAGTATAAAGAATGAAGAACAGCAAAAGGTTTTTTTTGAGTGTCCTTCCTTGTTGGCCGCTCGGTGCTTGTTTGATGCTGGCTGTACCAAACAGCTCCTGGTTTGTGATCCTGACCTCAGGATCGGTATTTCCACACCTCAGCCTGCACCTTTTCACCTGCATGGCAAGATTTTGTGAGCAATGTATGAAAGACCCTCCCTCTAGAAGGGAGAAAGGAACGATCCTGCTCCTCCTTCACGTTCTTCTGGTAGTGTCCAACATAAATTCCAGATTACCCTTACTGGGATTCAGTCAAAGGTCGGACTTGATAATTTTGGAGGTGTTTTCCAACCATAATGGTTCTCTGATTCCATAGAAAGGGACTTTCTCAAAGACACGTGATGGGTTGGTTGGGAAGCTGGTGGATCTGAATGCTAATGGGGCCTCCCCATAATTAAAGCAGGGGATCCAGAACTGCAGCTGTGCTGCTAAGCAGTGTCAGTAGAATTTTGGGAGTCCTAATCCCTCATCTGCCACGGATAATTGTAATGTCTGCATTTTAATCCCAGGATTGTGCTTGGCCATGTGAAGGATGTTACAGCCGGATTTAATTAACAAGTAGGATAAATCCCATCTAAAAGAGTCAGGGGAAAGATGCACCCATCTTATCAGCTCCCTTTGCCTCTGTGGCAACAGCTTATTATAATTGAAAGTAAAGATAGCTTTAAGAGAAAGAGGGAGCTCTGTCCCAGATATTTAATTTAGGCAGTGATTATTTCATAGGGTGGCATTAGAGATCTCTTTATGGAGATAACACGTCTGACCTACACTGACTTCTTTGCAACCTAAGACATATTGACATTCATCTCCCGAATTACAGGCTGGTGATAATCCCTCCTGTGGCACAGCCAAAAAAGCACCAGCGGCTGCTGGAGTTGGGGCTTGGAGCAACCAGGTCTGCTGGAAGAAGCGTTCCTGCCCATGGCAGGGAGCTGGAATGAGATGACCTTTAAAGTCCTTTCCAACACAAACCATTCAGTGATTCCGTGACTCTGCAATCAATCCTGTGTGTCCATACTTTAGGGTGCATTAATTCTGCTTAGAAATACTTCTTCCTTGGTTTTGGGAACCCTTTCCAGAGCTGGCCAGCCAAGTGTCTGCCTGCTGGAGATAGATCCAACTCTTCTCCTCCCTACCACCTGCAGCTCTGGTGCTCACAAGCAGGAAGGTAACAGGGAAGGCAGAAGAAGAGATCAGAAGTCACAACCAGAAAACAACACCTGAACAGTGACAACTGTGTGGAGATTTAGAATTTTTTTTTTTTTTTGGCAAAAAAACCCAACCCTGAACCGATGAGAGGAACGTACAAAACATACCATGATTTTGATATGATTTATATAAATATAAATATAAATATACCTGTGCTAAGGTGGCTTTTCCAATCTACCAAAACCTAACTCCCAGAAAAATAAACTCTGTGCTAACGAGACTGGGTTCCCAAATTGGATGCAGATCAAGGGCTCTGAGCAGACTTCACAACAGTCATCTACAGCAACCTTTCCAGACTTCATAAAAAGGAGAAATTTTTAGGGGACTGCTTTAAAAGTAAATATTTTGCTGCAACTTCCACGTTCAATTTCACCAATGTAATTTAACTCGAGAGGCTTTGGGTAAACATGCAGATACACTCCAATCCTTTAGGAAATTGCCAACAATTTCCTTGGATTTTTAAAAGAAGCCTGTAAAATATACACATTTGGCTATTATTACCCTTAGGTAGTTTACTTTAAAATATTTTTCACATAACATGCTGTTAAACCAAACTGGGCCAAATCAAATAATAACAATTAGTCCCTCTGAACTCAAGGACTTGTGCTACTCTGTGGTAGGGTGGGAATTTTGCTAATAATATCCCATATTTTTTGGATGTGGAGAGAACGGATCGAGTCATGTTTTTAAATGCCAGTGAAAATCCCACTGAAGTACATGGGATTTACTTCCTTCCTGCACGCTGCTCCTGTCCCTCCTTACAAGGAGAGCTGCAGGACTTACCACTGAGCCAGTGTGCAAAAACATGGCTAGGAATGAGCTGGCTGTTGCTGGCCAGCCTTGGATGCTGCTCCATGGCTACGTGGAGGAATGTACTGTGGATACTGGGCAACCACCCCCCTTTCCTCTTGCTCTCTGAGGATGAAAATCACTGACTGATCCCATGGCAGAGTACCTGAGAGTATCTCCACTTGTGGCACTTGATGCTGCTTGGTTTAGGCAGGGATGGCACAATCCTCTCCAGGTGACTGAGAATTATCTGCTGCACCTCTGCAGGGTCTGAGTCCAGGTACTCACTCCCAAATGTCACAGTCGTGTGGACAACAAGGGAAGGCCCAACTTCGGGAGACTCTGAAATAATAAAGAAGAGAGATGCTTTTTGAAGGATTACTCCTTAATACTTGCCTTCCCCACATGCTGACCATTGTGCCTCCAGCCCAGGAGTCAGTAAGAATGAAATTATCTGGTGGTACCACCCTGTTCTTCCAGCTGGAAAAAAACCCACAAGGAATAACAACACAAGCTGTTCACAAGGAACACAGAGAAGTCAAGGGGGACAATCTCTGCAACACAGAAATACAGAGGACTTGAATCACAGAATGGTTTGGGTTGGAAGGACTTTAAAGATGATCCAGTTCCAATCCCCTGCCATGGGCAGGGACATCTTCAACGAGACCAGGTTGCTCAGAGCTCCATCCAGCCTGGCCTGGGACATATCCAGGGATGATGGGGCAAGGTCTTTGCTGTATTTCAGCTGAGACTGAGCTGGTGTTTGAATTAAGTGCTTCCCACTCACTCCATTAACCAGAAATTCCCTCTCTTGGAAGCAGAAAGCCTTCTCTAGTTAAACCCTTGTTTGAATTTGCACATTCCTAGAAAAATATTTTAGTTTCAGCTAACGAGTGTTTTATGAGCAAGGAACCCACAAAGGAAGAGGCAGCTGAACACTTTCTGACCAGTTCTGGCTGTGAGGTACCAAGCTTGATAGAAGTCTTTATCTCTGCTGTGTCAGTGATGAGATTCCAGCTCCTCAAGCTGGAGACCTCCCTTTGGGAAGACGACAAATTCCAGCTTTCCAAAGGCAACCAAAATGTCTTCCTGTGGTAAGTTTTCTGTCCTGGGCTGATCACTTCAGCACCCACTACCGAGGTGCAGCAGTGCCAAGTCTGGCACCCACAGCAAGCACGAAACCCACGGCTTTAACTTCAACTGGAAGGACCCCCTCACCGAGTCTCTTTTGGGGGGGCCAGCTCAGCCAATCCTTGCCCTTGAGAACTGGGAAAACCAGGCAAAAAGGGTGGGAAGATGTTTCCTGATTTCACAGGCCGTATCTCTGTGGGCATCAGCTTTTCCAGCTGTCTGGAAAAACATCAGAAATGCTACTCAGTCTTTCCTTCCCCTTTTGGGGAAGAAAACAGGGATTGTGATGTCTCTCCACAGACAATGTGAGGGACAGAAAGACCACGTGGGGAAGCCTATTAGGTACCTTGGGATTTATCACAGGGTACGTGGTATTTTGGCAAATACTTCCACGTCAACTTGGCAAAAAGGCTCATTAAAAGAGGATTTTAATAAAATAAATATTCATTGCTTGCTGTGTCGTGTTATAGCCAGCGATTCCACCAGTGATTCCACCAATGATCGCAGCCAAGGGCCACCTTCTCTCAGATCTCTCATCTCTTCCACAGCACGTACAAAACAAGTTTCTGGAGAACAGGCAGTTCGTTGAGTTTTTAATTCCTCTGAGCTACTGATAGCTTGGAGAGCTTCCAGAGGCCACTGAGTCACAGCCTTCCAGTACTGAAATATGCAGCCTGCGAGGATCAACTTTAGCCTCAAGCCCTTTTCCTTCTTCTGCAAAAAATACTGGTTAAAACAGGAGTCCAAAATAGATTTTTCCCTGAAAGCAATGGGGGGATCTCAGTCCTGATGCCCCGTGGGAGAACGACTGTCGGGGGAGTAAAACCCGTCATCTTCCTCCCAGTGCTTTAGATCAGGCTGCAACAACCTGCTGGGAAATGAGGGCTTCTGGTGAGATCTTAATTTCCTTTATTTGTGGCAAGGATGCAAGCTGGCCATGGCCACGACACGAGGGTCAACCCTGTCCTGGGGGGCATCGGGCCCCGCATCGCCGGCCGGGCCAGGGAGGGGATTGTCCCGCTCTGCTCTGCCCTGGGGCGGCCTCTCCTCAATATTGGGGCAGTTTGGTGGGGGGACACAACATCAGAAAGTTCTGATGCCATCAGAGAGTGTCCAAAGGAGGGCAGTGAAGATGGGGAAGGGCCTCGATTTGAAGCCGTGTGAGGATGCTGAGGGCACTTGGTGGGTTCAGCTGGAGAAGAGGAGGCTGAGGGGAGACCCCACTGCAGTTCCAACTTCCTTGGGAGGGGCAGAGGAGGGGCAGGACTGAGCTCTGCTCTGAGGGGAGCAGGGACAGCACCCAGGGAATGGCTGGAGCTGTGTCAGGGCAGGCTCAGGTTGGATCTCGGGAGAAGGTTCTTCCCCCAGAGGGTGGCTGGCACTGAACAGGCTCCCCAGGGCAGTGGGCACAGCACCAAGGCTGCCAGAGCTCCAGGAGGGTTTGGATGATCCTCTGGGGCACAGGGGGTGACTCTTGGGGATGGTCCTGTGGGGCCCTGAGCATTGGGGGGGTTCCATCCTTGGGGACTGCCTCAACTCTCCTGGACATCTGCTGTAGCTGCGACATTTGCTCTGCCGGGAGCAGGGACAGCCCAGAGTCCCTCGCCCAGCTGGAACCCTGCAGAATTGGTGTAAATCCATGAAAACAGAGGAGGAGAACCTCCATCACTGAGCAGCATGAAGTACAAGCTGTCACAGGGAGAGGACACATCAGCTACCTGGAAGGGGTGTCAAGTGCAAAGAGCATGGAAGTGATTAGGGCTCACCATACGCTGCACTTTGGCCAGTTGCAGCCGTGAATTAAGCAGCAAAGTCTTCCCATGTTGAACTTCCTGTGGAAACTGGAACTTGACCTAGAACCTGGGAATGAGGGGAAAGGTTTTTGGATTGTGAGCAGAAGGCAGCAGCCATCAGCTCCTTAACGTTTTGGGACTGTTTTGGGACTGTCTCAACACTCGTCATTAATTCCCAGCTGGAGAAATCACACGGGCTGTGTTAAAAAAGAGAAGGACAGACTGCTGACAGTGAGAATTTAAACAGGATTAAGCCTTTTAGGAGTCTTATCTTCCAGAAAAAGGATGGGGCTAATAAAAGATCCCTGGAAAAGCACACAGAGAACAGAGCTCACTTGCCCAGCACAGTGGTTTGCAGCTCCAGGACATCTGGTGTCAGAGAGGTGGCTCTTAGCTTTGAGTAACACCTTTAGTGTGGAATTGTGGTGTCCTGGGTGAAGCTGCTCAGGCTGGAAGCATAGCTGTCACTGTCACAGGTGGGATACAAAGACCCAGGGGTGAATTCCTCCAGGCACTCTGTACTGCAGGACAGTGACAAAATGAACAGCCCGAGTCTTCCCACAGGGACCTCCTTCTGCCCCGAGAAGTTCTCAGATGGTATTAAGAATGTGAAGTCAGCTCCTGTGGTGGCCATGTCATCCTTACCAACAGTCTCAGGGAAATCACAATAAAGTAAAGCATATAAAATGATGATGAAAACAATAAACCAAAGCATATGTTCTTGAAGAAAGCTCACGGTGGATCACCTGTCCACCAAAATCTCCTTCCTTGCAAAATGCAAAAGCTACTTTTCTCTGACGAATCTATGCCAAGGTCAGGGTTCAGAGTCCTTAAATTCAAAAGGGATTTTAGAGATGAGCTGCAATCCCTGGGATCCACGGAGGCCTGAAGTTTCCTCAGAAAAGAGAACACCATCAGAGCCTGAAAGTCAGAGGATCCGTTTGGCAAATGGTCAGGATGGTGTCTCGTCATGTCCTGGGACAGGCTGAAAAGTAACTGCGGAGAGAGAGAGAGAGAGAGGAACTGGAGGGTAACATGGATTTCAAGGCACCAGGAAGGGGACAGAGCACAGTGCTCTTGGGACTGCATCAGTGGCAGAAGGTGCCCTGCCCTTCGACACTGCCAGGGGGGACTTGGCAAAGACAGGGAGAAGCAGCTACAGCTCCTACTATCCCCAAGAAAGCAGAAACCAACTGGATTTTCCCAAACAGTAATATTCTAGGAGAGATAACCGTGTCCAAGGGCCACTGTGGAGCATGTTTTGCAGTTGCTCAGCTTGAAAGGCTTTGAAGCAAGAAATCCTAGGCCACAAGGGACACAGCGCCCACCGAGGCGTCAAGGACAGGGCGTTCAGAGAGGCTCATCAGCCTTGACCTCAGAAGTGGTTGTGCTGGTTTAGGACTGAAGTACTTTTGTGGAGAAGCATGAGGCAGCACGGGCTGGAATATGCACGCCCTGGAAGTGGCCTGTGGTGGCTCACAGGCTCTGCAGAGCCCACAGATCCACCGACCCTTGGGAGAACGAGATCAACTTTCACAGAGGCAGAGAAAGTAAGCAGCCACGACCTGCTGATGAGTTTGCAGGCTCCACAGATGCATCCACAAAACTTCCACAGAGAGGGTGGAAAATTCTTCCCGGTTCAGCTGTGCTGACATTAAAACTTGCTGGACAGCAAATGTGGACAGAGCTTGAAGAATTTCCTGTCTTCGCCAGCGGGGTTTGCTTGGACTCACTTCCCAGTTCATTTATTAGTGTGTTCAGTAAATACTCACCAGAACATTGTCTGCCTCAGAGTCACAGGACTTAGGGAGGGAGGGAGGAACCTCTGGAGGTCTCTAGTCCAACCTCCTGCTCAAAACTGGAGCCAGCTTCAAAGGGAGATCATACTCCTACTGTTGGAGCGCTCAGGGATCGATCCAAGGGTTACAACCTGGTCTCCGGAAGAGAAATGTGTATGGACGCGACAGGCACACATCTCCCACAGGAATGTTTTCTGCCTTCTTGGAGTGAATGGTGTCAAGTATTTTTCTCATGTTCCTGCCCAAAATCTGGAGTCATAACAGACACTGATAAAAAAACAAGAGGTGGTTGTTCCCTGCCCCTCAGGATTTTTTGCAATCATACCATGAGTAGCATGAGGGGAAGGGAAAGGCCATTTGCCACACCAAAAAAAAAAAAAAAAACCAACCAAAAAAACACCCACAGAAAAAACCAAAAAACAACACCCTGAAGATTAGGCTGCAAAGGAAATGCTGCTGGGTCAGCGTGGAGGGCAGAAGAGAAGCTGGACACCTCCAGACAGGCTGGAACTGTATCCCTGCACCCTGGGAGGAATCAGCACGCTGCCAAAAGAGAAGTCAACATGCAGGACTCATAAAACCGAAAAAAAAAAAAAAAAAAAAAAGAGCAGTGATTAAGTTTGCTACACCCAGAAAATAAGCAAGAGAAATGGAGGTTCAGTTCCAAAATGCCACGCTGCTATTTGGCAGAAGGGCTCGTGAGCTCTCCCAGTTATCCTCAGAAGATCCCGAGGTTTGTAAGGTCCCATATTCTCCCTGGAATAAAATCTACTCTATCTGACAAGGCACATTTGGGAGGAAAAATTCTACTTTCAATTCTACTGAGAAGATAAAGGAATCTATATTTTAAAATAAAAAAGGATACTCGAGGATTACACCGAAACCCTAAAAACCTGTAAGAGGGATCTTCCCTTTAAATGATACAGCCCTGGAGTGAAAGAAGGGAACCACTTCCATTTTTATGTGTCATCTATCTTTAGTCCTCCGGAACGCAAAGAGATGCAAAGACTGCGGTATTACAGAAATAATTTATAGTGGAGAATTCCCACTGTCCCCCCAACCAGTTATAAATATTGATGGGGTGTTTAAGGCAGCCAATCGCACAAATATTTAATATTCATGCACGGGGAATTCAACATACACTTCTTGTAGGCTCTTCCTTACGTAACGTTCCAGCGTTCCCTCTGCGGATGGGGGTGGGATTCCTACAGGCAGCAGCTGAGACCCTCAGCTGATGGAAACAGCCTTCCTGGTCGGAGGGTCACGCCAGGGAATGGCCTGAAGTTGTGTCAGGGGAGAGTTAAGTTGGATCTCAGAAAGAGGTTCTTGGGCACTGACCAGGCTCCCCAGGGCAGCGGGCACAGCCCCAAGGCTGCCAGAGCTCCAGGAGTGTTTGGGCAACGCTCTCAGTGACGGGGTGGGATTGTTTGCGGTGTCCTGAGCAGGGCCAGGAGCTGGATTCGATGATCCTGATGGTTCCCTTCCAACTCAGCATATTCTGTGATTCCACAGGGGTCCTGACTCCCAACGCCACTGTCACACCACGACACTCCCTCCCGACAGCCTGTTCCATTAAACTGCATGTACCAAGTGAACTTGGGAATAATAATTGCGTATTAGACAGCAGCTGGGTAAGAAAATCCTTATTCTGTGACAGTGAGTCACAGGGTTCCATGGATCACCACAAAGGTGGGCAGGTTTTCACCCCCACAACACGTTCGTGGCTCACCCCGGTCACGGTCGCAAGGCGAGCGAGGACCAGAATCGGGCAGCGCTTGCAGCTCCTAACGAGCTTGATGAAACTCAAATGCTGGTGGTTTCTCTCGAGCTATTCTATGCCAACACACTCTTGGTATATGCAATGCATTTAATAAATAAAACATATACTTACTCGACTGCCGTCTTCCAGAAATAGATGAGAAGTGTCTGCCTTGTGGGATGTTCTCCAAGCCTTACCAAGCAGTCATTTCAAGGATTCTCCATGATTATAAAAGCACACACTGGCTAACTCTGCACTGGGCTGAACAGCCTCAATTATATAACTCATTACTACTTCCAAGCGTGCTTAGTGGAAAGAACAGGAGTTGTAGAGTGAGATGATGGGAGACAAATTGGCATGTGCATGAATCAACGTTTAAACAAAGGAACTCCGGCTCTTTCCTGGAATAGCAACATTTTGATGTCTCAAATCCCCCGACACTGGTTTCATAAACGCGGTAACGTAAACCATGTGCTGGGTGGTGATTTTCTGAGGACCTTCCCGCTTTCATTGTGTATTTTATTACAGGCCAAATGTGACATTAAACGCTATCCGCTGCGGCTTGGAGTTAAATACTTGCTCTGTTCAGAATAGCAACACTCAATTAAACAGCATTTTTCATGATCTACACCCTCTATTGTCGCTGTGTTAAAGGGAAATAATGGGAGCACTGACCTATATTGCGTTTCTTATTATCGATGGAGATGAAGCGTATGCAGGGATTATCAGTGATGTACTGAGCAGCCCAGGGGACATCAATCCGTGTACCAGCTTCATAAAAAAGTCCCAAAGCGTAGCGGGAGGAGTAGCTCACAGATTCCAGTTGCTGCTTTTGACTTTCATTAATTACTGGGGGGGGGGGAAAAAAAAAAAAAAAGAGAAAAAAAAAAATCAGACAGATTTTCTCTCCTCTCAGAACATTAAATATGTGAATGCTGCGGTTAAGCTGATTATTCCTTCCTGAAAATGGCCAGACTGCTAAAACTAAGAATTTAATATTAAGCCTAGTGCTTTGTAATTTTTTTTTCTGGGACACCTCTTCATGAAGTTTTAATGGCGCATTATGTAGAGTATGTCCTTCACACACAACCCTCCCCCCAGCTGGTGGTGGTTCATCTCCCAGCTCTCTGCGAGTTGCCTCTGACTGGAAACTTCAAATACCGGTGACTTTTCCCCAGACCTTTACTCAAAATGGTGGATAAATAGGAATAAGGGGTTTGGGTTGCCTCAAGCACACCAAGTAAATAGTTGCTTGGCTCAACAAAAAGCTAAATGACTTCACATATCGCCAAAATGAACCCAGAGACTCTTGAATGTCTGGGGGAAATAGCCCCACAACTTGTGTGTCACAACCTGAATGAAGAAAAATCTGTGTTTCAGACACACAAAGGGTTTGTAGTGAAGTTCAGTTCCTTCAGCTGAAGGTATTTTAAAGCAGTTTACAGAGCAAATATGAATCCATTCCTCCCCGTGATCAACTCCTCTATCTCCCAGTTTGCTTTTTGCCTCAAAAAAAAGAAGGACACTGGTGTGACTGACCCTGATGTTCCTCAGACCTGGCAACCAGGATGGCTTCCTCACACGCTGCCAAGGAACTGGTATTCCCTGCTGTGCCAGAGCAAGGCTCAAAGAACCAGGGCTATAAATCCTACTCCATGTGACACAGCCCCTCCTGAGCCCCCCAGTCCCCTCACTGAGGCTCCTGGATTGTCTCCCCCATCCCACCACAACCTCCACACCCACACCAGCCTGACCTAACCCCCAGCACATCAGAGGATCACAAGTCAGATTCCATCTCCAATCCCGTCAGAAACCAACCCTGAAACGTCTCCAAGAAAAACTCTCACGAATTTTGAGGATTTTCCCCATGTATTTTCCCCACAAATATGCTGGGAAATGGAGAAACGTGGGGGAGAGGGCAGAAGGAAACACAGATCAAACCGTGAAAGCTGGAGAAAGAAAAGGAGGAGAAATGAGGCATCTGGCAGGAGGGGTGGTGGTGGAGATGGAGGAAGCCAGAGGACAGGATTGGCTGAGCACAGTGGGGTTGGAAGGAGCTCCCCTTTCCCTCTCCAGTCCAACACTCCCTCTGAGAAGATGCCAAGGGTTTCAGTTGCCTCTCATCTCACCCCTGACACCTGGATCATTCCAAGGAAGATTTACTCCAAGGTCGCTCTGCCTTCCCCCAGGGCAGGCTGCTCCCCTGGGATCCAGGGCTCCTGGGTGCCTAGGGCTCTTTGCCCAAACTCCAGAGCAGCCTGGCATGGAGACCACCCCAGGCTGCAGCAGGGCCCTGAGTTTCATCCCGCTTTTCCGTGCCATCCAAACATTTTGTGTTGACCCAGGCACTGGCAGGACTCCCCCAGCTCCCTGCGTCTCCTGCAGGTTGTCATCTCCTTCCTCCTCCATCCCTCTGCTCTTCCACAGCTTCTCTCCAGCTTTTGGGAGATTCCACGACCTGGCAAAGCCTGTAGGACCAGGAGGGAAAGGGAAGGGATTAAGCAGGGCTGTGGGGCGGACTGGAGGACTGCCCTGGAGGAAAGGATGCCAGAGGACCTCGCACATCCAGCCCCAGTGGAAATATTATTCCCTGGCCTGTGCTAAGCTCCAGCTGAAGCCATGGATTTAACAGTGCAGGCACATGGTGCCAGCCTCCGGGAACCACCTCAGGGCCCTTTTCCAAGTGGGAACAGCGGCGTTGGCGATTTCAGTGGTGCCCGTCCCGGTTCCTCCTGGCAAAGCACAAGAGCCCAGACAGGGAAAAGAGCTGCTGCTAAACACATTAGGCACATAGGATGGCACAAATCTCACCCAGAAACCCCCCTGTTCCTCTTGCAAGTAAGGGCTCTGCACAGCTGGGTTCTGAGGTGTCCACCACCAACCAGCTCCCCCCTTCCTACAGCATGATAAACAATCACCATGTGTTGCACATTCTTGTTGTGCTTCGAGAGGATATTGAAGTCCTATAAACAAGCAAACAAACACGAAGCTCTAACATCCCATCTAAAGCACTACTCTTTGTCCAGGTTACTCTGGCAACTGACTTCCCCTTGGGGAAAGAAAAATAAACAAGACCTCCCCAGGCCTGCAAGGCAAATTCCCACCACCATCACCCAGCAAAGCAGGAATGCATCTGGGATGGAGCTGAGCTGCAGGGGAAGGGACCAGCAGGTTGAAATTTGCTTCAGGTTTACTACACAGAGCCCTTCAGAAGGCACAGCCTTCGCAACCAACACTCAGCGTTGCCAAAAAGCCAAGGCAGCCAGTTGGTTGGTTCAAGACTTCCCATGTCTTTATGGACCTGCCTTCACAAGCTGTGAGGTGTGAGGGGTCACTGGGGATGGACGCCGAGCAGCAGAGCAGGAACCAGAGCTAAGCCATGATTTTGTCAGCTGTAACTACACACCTACAGACAGAGCTTGGGGCCGGGGGGTGCTGAGGAAAGGAGGATGAAGGAAATGAGCCCAGCTGGGCAACCTCACCCCCAGGAGAGGGGAGAACAGGGAGGGTAGGCAGACACAAGTGACAGAGCTCTGACAAGGGGCTGTAAACAGCCAGGGTGGCTTGTTCACAGCAGCCAGGGAAGGAATAGCTTCAGGAAGGAGTGACTTTTCAAAAAGCCTCGAGGAGATGGAATAACACACAGGCTGAGGGCAGCCTGTTACAGCGCCCAGCACATGCAGGCACTCTGGGGACGGTGACAGGCCCCTCCCTAGAGAGATGTGAACCCCAGAAACACTGAGGAGTTCAGAGAATCACAGAATCAAACCCCCGAGATCATCAAGCCCAACCTGTGACTGATCCCCCATAACCCAGAAATGACTCATACCCACCCATCCCAAACAGTCAGGTTGATATCTCAAAATTTAAAAGTGAGTTCATTCAACCACTGATGCACCAATTGGCTTTGTTATGGCTTGGGTTTTTTAAAAAAATAACGCCCGTGGTTCACTGGGTCCTAAACGGCTGCAAATTTAGTTTTTACAAGGGAGATTTCACAGCTTGAGAAGACAGGCAAGAAAGTGGCACCAAGTCTGAAATCCAGCAATGAGAAAGCTGAGCTACACGCAGAAACAAGGTTAAGAGTTGTAAGATTGAGGTTTTTCCCCTGCTCCATCCATTATGCGTTTCAGCAAGGCCAACAAGTTGATCTGAGGACATGAAGAGAACCTTCATTTCGAATTTCCATACTTTTATTGCTTTAAATGAAAACCAGACTGTTGTTTTAATGCTGTGGACGAAACCACAAAACAACTATTAATTTTTCTGCTTCCAACAAAAACGGTTAAGATGATTTTAATGACATTTTGGAAAAAAAAAAATACAACCCTCTAGTTTTCAGACCACGGAATTGCCCAGCGTATAAGAATCAGCCATAGCAATATTTTTAAAGCACTGCATAAAGACACGAAAATCTTGTATTTTCCACTGAAAAACTCAGCTCCAGCTGCACTGCGAGTGCCACTGAAGTAAGTGTCCTCTGGAGATTTCATCACATCAAAGCAAGGGGCATGCATACTTCATTTGCTGTTTCTCTAGACACTGACAGCAGAGTGGATTACTTATCTGCAACACTCCATAAATACAGCCAGGGCCTTTTATCTGCCATTCCAGTACTTTAATGTCACCTCGCTCCCTCACTCGTGTTGTGGGAAGGAGGGGACCCAGAGATCCCATTAGGGCCAGCAAGAGAGAGGAGAGCCAAGGCTTGAGCTGGCAGGCTGGGAGCACGGGCACCAGGCCATCCAGGCAGCCAGGACTGAGCCCAGCCTACCATCACCAAGGCCAGGGAGGCAAAAATAAACCCAGCTGCTCCGACGGCCAAGAACCCACTGGGGTGATCAAGGTTGAATCCTGGACATTCAGTCTTTTGCCAGCAAAGTCCAGGAGGGGATTGCAATATCACAGACTCACAGAACGGTTTAGGTTGGAAGGGATCTTAAGCATTATCTTGTTCCAACCCCCTGCCATGGGCAGGGACACCTCCCACTAGCCCAGGTGGCTCCAAGCCCCGTCCAACCTGGCCTTGGACACTTCCAGGGATTGGGGACCCACAGCTTCTCTGGGCAACCTGTGCCAGGGCCTCCCCACCCTCACAGGGAAGACTTTCACCCCAGTATCTAATCCAAACCTACTCTCTGTCAACCTGAAGACGCTTTTCTCTGCAGAGAGGCACTGCAGGAGCCACGTAGCACCTGGATCACTCACCACCAGCTCGTGGCAGCTGTCAGAGGCTCCTGCAAGGACTGGGCTTGCAGCAGCACTTTTGAGCAGGCAGAGATGGGGATGAGACACGATGGGCCAGTACAGGACCCAGCTCAGTCTGGTAACTGAAGCAGACAGGTCACCTGTGACGTCCCACCAAGTCCCACGTGCTTGCCACTCTAGGTCACAACTGCTGGGGCCAGGGAGAAACCTCGCTGAGAACTGCAGGGAAAAGCAGATGCTACAATGTGAGATGCATTGAGAATGATACTTGTTTTGCAAAGTTTCACTGTTCCTAACCCAGTGCTTCTGAAAGCCTGCGGATACTTATCCCCCCATCAAGCCACCACGTGATGTCAGAGCTCAGCTGGGATGCTTGTACCCAGCTCCTGCGTGACCACAGGGATGTGTGGGCAAACTTGGGTAATGGAATTGAGATCCTGGTCTGAAAGACTCCCGGGGAGAAGGAAAACTCTTCTGTTTCCCCATCCAGTCTTGCTGAGTGGCACGGGCGATGTTGCACCCTGACGACCAGCAGCTCCAAAGAAGACAACAAATAGCTGGATATACAGCCTGTGCTTTAGTGCACAAAGTCACCGCCTGATAGGTTCAAAATCACTTTTTAAGGTATGGCCAAGGTGGCTGTAAATCTAGAGACAATTAGACATGACCAGCCACCAGAGGAGTATGGAAAAAAAAAAAAAAAACTATAGGAAAACTTCTAAGGAATGAAAGTGCTATTAAACCAGGAAAATATGAGGATGCAGTTTTCTCTCTCAGGAAAAGATTGCTCTTTTCAGTCTTAATTTCTTTTACTGGAAACTTCTTATTCTTCTAACCACCCGACAGCTTTAGCTTTGGTGGGAATAGCAGTCAAGCCTGGCTTGAGCTTTGTGACTTTGTCACTGCCCAGGCACCCTGCAGTTTTCAGAACCTGAGCTTCCTCTTCTGGAAACAAAATTAGCCCTGCCCAACTCCCAGTCCCCACCTTTACTTCTCTTCGCAGAGAGAAGTAAAACACCCTGCCCATTCCTTCTTGCCGGAAGATACCTTCTGGAAAATTCAGCGAGACATCCAGAATTAAGAAAACCTGACAAATTTACAACAGTCTCATTTTCTAGCAGATGAGTGACCTGGTGCACAAGTTCCCCTGCAACCTCCACAGAACTCAGTTCGACCTCAGACTAGGAAGGTTTCCCTCCACCTCCTTCTTTTTTTTTTTTTTTTTTGTCCATACTTCCATGACAATCCACTTACCTCACAGCTGCGCCCTCCATAACCCCACCACTGACCCAATCCCCCCCCAAAAAAAGGTTTTGTGATTTCCTCAGGCTGCTTTGCTGGAGATTCTACTTGCAGCACCCGACGCTGCCAGCGAATGTAAATGCGTCACTCAGACGCTGCCAGTGCCAGGGTGTCTGTAAGTGGCAAGTGCCCACCACTGTTTTAAAAGTTAAAAAGGAAACGCTGTGGTTTTAAACGGCAGCAAAGATATTTTTAGCCTGGGTATCAAGTTAAGAGAGTCCCATCAGAACGGGCAGCTCGGGTAAGTACCTGCAGGGACAGTTTATTGTCACAGCTGGCGGAGCAGGAGATGAATTATTCAGGCTGGCACATTATCATAACCTTCACACAACGAAGCCTGCTTGGACGGCAAACTCTTCCTCCTCAGCAGGCTTGCACAGAGACCTTTCCTACTGCTCCCTGGAGGCAGAAACCGCTGCCCCCAGCTCTCCAGCTGCGTGGTGACAAAGGACAGGCTTTTCAGGCCATCCCCCTCGGCGGAGTCACCAAGCCACTGGCCCTCTGCCACCGCGCTGACCGATTCAAGATGCAGCCTGTTCCTGCTTCTGCCTTTGCGTAGGAGGGAGCAGAGGTTATGAGAAAGGCTTAGTTTTTAAGTCCAGCTTCCTTATCAAACAGCTTGGGAGTTGTTTGTGTTTTTTTTTTTTTTTTTTAAAAAGGCAGCATAACGGTTCAATGCAGCCCTGCCTGTTATCTGCACTGAAACGCTGACTAAAAACAGTCATTTGTTGGGATACGCTTCTCGTCGTTGGAATGATCCACTTTGGATCCAACGCAGTGCTCACCTCTGTGTGTCTGAAACGTCCATGAGGGTTTAAATAACTGTTCCAAATCACTGCAGTCCTGACTGACTTTGGCCCAAAGCTCCTTTATCTGAAGTTTGTGGCACGCAAAGGAAAGGAATATTTAGAAACGCAGATGATTGAGTGGAAAAGAAGGATGCTGGGGGATAAAAAGGCAGAACAAGCGATTTTTTTAATGAACTTTATAAGAATTATGCTTGGATACCTGTCTACCAGCTGCTCCTGACAAGATTATTAAAAATTCACAGAAACACAGAATAGTCGGGGTTGGAAGGCACATCTGGAGATCATCCAGTGCAACCCCCCAGCCAAGGCAGGGTCAACACAGAGCAGGTGACACAGGAACGTGTCCAGGTGGGTTTGGAATGTCTCCGGAGAGGGAGACTCCATGCCCTCCCTGGGCAGCTGTTCCAGTGCTCTGCCACCCTCCTAAAGTTGAGGTGGAACTTGTTGTGTTTTAGTTTAGGGCCACTCCTCCTCATCCTCAGTATTTCACTCGCTATTAAACTAAAACCTCCATCAGTTTGCACAAGAAACGTTTCCATGAACCTCCTGCAGCACCACATATGTCCAAGTCAGCTTCTGAACCAACAGAGAAAAGGAACTGCACCATTTCTAGGACAGGGGACAAAGCTGGCACGAGGGCTGAGAACCACCCCCTCCTGTCTCCTGAAGGAAGGGGCACGGATGAGGAAACAGGGGAGATGCTCCACAGGATTTCTCCTGCTTCGGGTCTTACTTTTTACCAAAAAATAAAAACTCTGATCCAAAGCAGTAATGTTTTTTGTTACTTCTAACATAACAATTCCAGTTTTAAATTTAGTCAACTTCTCCATCCTCCTTCCCCAATTCCAGAGTTTCCTCTTAACCCTGCATGCTGTATTATCTGCAGCCCAGGAGCTCCACGCTGGTCTCTCAGGCCCATGTGCTCAGTCTCCAACCTGAAAGTGGCTTTAATGCACACATTCCCATTATTTTGTACTGGCATTAATGGGGAAAATGACTTTTCAGGCTGCTTATTTGGATGACTGAGAAGCTGCCTCTTAACCAAAAAGCTGGTCACGGCACACCATGGAAATGCCGCTCCCCGCCATTTACTGGAGCTCCGGTTCTGACTCCAAATTAATGACATCTTCCTTTAAAATATGAACCTCTGCTAAGCTCCCACCCTGGGAAGAACAGGATATGACATTTATAAGCAAGTACAACTAAAGAAGAAGACAATAAGTGATTCTTTTCACCATCCAAACCCTTCCTGTGGTTACAGCGCAACCTGCCCGGGGAAAAGAATCCTGTAACGGTTCAAAATGCCCCTATTTTAGCTGGGAAATTTCTTCCAGTTTTGCTTGGGAGGGAGCAGAGATAAAACACCTCTGTGGGACAGAGTAACTCCTTCCAGCAAGGAATACTCAGAATTTTCCAAGAAATTTTGGACATGCTTGAAAATTAGATTCATTTAGAAAGAACCCCAAGAAATAGGTCGGTGAAGTCCAAATAAAAAACATAATGCACGTGGAACACTCCAGTTTTTGCTCTGTAAGCATTTAGAGGTAATGATGTAGAATATATATATGACATGGTATCATGTAACTCTCACTAGCACGACTGCAAACACCGTTTCCATACTACAACAACAACATTTTCACTGTGTTATTCTCACAAAGCCCACCAGTTTCTGTGGCTGGCACTGAAGTCGACAGAAGCTGAAGACAACTTGGAGAAAATCTGATTTTATTCAGAGACCTCTGTATAGATTTAAGATCTCATCTCGGAGTTAAGAGGCTTGGAAAAGTTTGGCTAAAAAAAAAAAAAAAAAAAAAAAGCTCATTGTCACATTTCCCCCGGATTAATTTGCAAATTAATTTGCAAAAGTTACTCCGTAACTTGATGTAGGAAGGAAGCTCTTCTAAGTCCTCTCTAATGACACGGCACAGCAGGAAGATGAAGCTGGATTAATTTGCAAATTAAGCTTCCTTCCTACATCAAGTTACAAAGTCCTACACACAGTTCTGTTACTCTCTGGTGCCAAAACGTAAAAGCTCATTACTTACATAATCGCCATCATAAAACATTTAGCAAATAACTCGTGCACCTACTGTACACAGCACTGAGCTGAATAATAAAGTCAAGAGGATTTATTTTCTTTAAATATTACACTAGTTGCTGAAATAGCATTAAAAGCTTTTCAAGGCAAGCAAGTAAGAGGTTGGCTTATAGCTCTGTGTTTTGACTCGGACAGAATAAACACATCAATAAACTGAAATTAAGATCTGCCTGATGTTTGTGGCTTCTGGGCTGCAGCTCCCCACTCCTTACAGCGGAGGACCCTAATGGCACACAGAGGTGGAACACAGCAACTTGGGGGGTTCCCTAAATGTGTTCCCAGCACTGAACAACTCCTTGCAGCGCTTCCCCTTTCTCCAAATTCACATCCACGCCTGGTAATGCCACACCAGACAGTGGCAATGCAAACTCTCAGCACCAAAATGCAGCTTCACAGTGATGGGCAGCAGAGCTACGTCCACTGAAATAAGTGCCGGAGGAAAATGCTTTCAGGCATTAATTATTGAGGAAGGATTCAGCTGGCCACTGGAAACTTCCACCTGAGGCAAAAAAAATTAACGTATTTTTCCTCTCTTTTTAAAGGAGTTCGTTATTACCAGGAGGATGCAAAAGTTAAAGAAATACAGGGTAGAGCTGTGCACATCAGAAAGCCAAAGGAATTGTATTCAACTTTGACAAGAACCCCCTCGGGGTGATTTTTAGGGGATTTTCCCCCTCCCCCCGCTCAGGCCAGACTAGTTAGGAAGTTTCAGTATTACCTTTATTCGGACCTCTCTCTCTTTTTTTTTTTTTTTTTTTTTTCATTTTCTGAATCACTCCAAACAGCCTGTGCTGGAAGAGAGGTTTATACTTCCAGAGGCTGCTAATACAACGCAGCTGCCTCTTCCAGGCTGAAGAATCCCAGGATACTTAGTCATCTCTTCCATGCCTCTGGCCATCCACCCCCGTGGGCACCTCTGAAGCTTTTTTGGATGTTGAACACACACACACTGCACGCCACAGCGGAGCTGCAGGCACACCACGGGTGTCTCCAACAGCACCAAGGAATGCACAGACAGGAGGAGCTGGGAATCCGAACAGGAGCCCCAGCGGCCAGTTCTGATCCACCCCTCTCATGGGAGCTTCCTGCACACAGGTTAAAACCAAATGATAATGGTCTCCCCTCCTAATGTTGAGGGCATTTATCAACCACATTCCTCCTTAAACAGCAGATGCAGCAGAAGGGGAGTGGGAGACGCAGCCAAGAAGTGGTTTGCTGCCATCCCCTCCTCCTGTGACCATAGTTCCCATACGGTTTTTACCCTAAAGCTTGTGTTAAATGCTGGAGGGGATCTGTCTGCTGCTTTACTTACTCAGGAAAAATGGGGGACTAAATGACTTTACACATCTCTAGGGAGTCTTTGGACATCCATTCTACTGTTAATTCTCAACATTAAGTTTTGCTTTCCCAATCCACCATAAATAGTCTCCTTTTTTTTTTTTTTTTTTTAACATTATTAATGACTGGGAAGCTCTATCTGCCACACAGTTTAGCTCAAATGCTTCCACGCTGCTTCTCTTCAGTTCATCAGTTTGGCCTGAAGGTGCCCATATATTTTACCATCCTCAGCTGGGGAATCTCACAGCTCTGCTCATTTCCACTCTCCTCTACTGCAGCAAACCTGGACCTCCTGAGGAGGATCTCAGTGCATCCTGATGCTTCTCTTGGGAAGGACAGCGTTGGAATTAGTGAGAATGGTGTTCTCCCAAAATTGCTCTCCCAGTGGATGGCCAGGCACTCCTCTGCTCACACTGGCCTCGCACCGTGTTGACTGATTTTGCCATATCTTGAAGAAAGCTGGACACCTGACTTCTCTGTGAGAGGCAAATCATGATGGTACAAACAAGTACATGGATAAGAATATAATTTAGGATTTTATTTTTTAAATCGGCAAAGAATTATTCCCTGACAGTGAGGACAGGGATCAGCCCCCTGATCTGTTCTGCTCCTGCCACAGAAAGCCCAGACCACTGTTAAGGCAAAGAATCAAATAAAATGCGGCACAGAATAAATCCCAAAGTGAAAAGGGGTTCTGAAGTTGGTCTTAGTATGAAAGGCTGAGAGAATTGGGATTGTTCAGCCTGGAAAGGAGAAGCTTTGGGGTGACCCAATTGTGGCCTTTCAGTGTCTGAAGGGAGCTGCCAACGAAGATGGAGAGAGACTATTTACAGGGGCCTGGAGGGACAGGACAAGGGGGAATGGCTTCCCATTGCCAGAGGGCAAGGTTAGATGGGATATTGGGAAGAAATTCTCCCCTGTGAGGGTGGGCGGGCCCTGGCACAGGTTGCCCAGAGAAGCTGTGGCTGCCCCTGGATCCCTGGAAGTGTCCAAGGCCAGGTTGGACGGGGCTTGGAGCAACCTGGGCTAGTAGAAGGTGTCCCTGCCCGTGGCAGGGAGTGGGACTGGATGAGATTTAAGGTTCCTTCAACCCAGGCCATTCTATGATTCTGTGATGGGTCCTGAAACCCCTCAGGAGAGCACAGTCGCAGCAAGAAGATGGTTTTCCCCATCTGATCAAGTTCCGTCCTCTCCCCCTTGGATGGGTGAGCTGAAAACCCAACAAATATCAAATCCTACCGCTTCATGTCACCACAAGCTGTGGGACGTGTCCCCTGATTAAAAGGCAGAAGGATCATGACCAGAAAGCTTCCAGTGAGAAAGGAGGGAATGGCACTGGCACAGAAATGTTGGCAATATCGAGGTGCCAGAAAA